TTATCCGCAGCACCAAACATACTAGAGTTTTCTAGTTAATGAATGAAAATGGTACATCCAACTGGCTGACCACTCTTTCTGCCTCCTATAGAGGAACACGCATTCTGATTGAGCCACTCGACCAGTTGTGATGCTCTTTGCTTACGATATGAATTAAGCATTCAAAGATAAACATTCGCAATGTGAACATGGTAACAGCTTTTCTTTAAAGCGTATGATGTTGTGCTGTATCGTTGGGTTTCCAGCAAAAAGTTACCATGAACTTATAACACCAAGACAGAAAAGCTCTTGACAGAAGTTAGCTTAAACGTTGAAGTTGAGTAACTCTTAAAAAGACCGATGGCGGTCTTTAAAATGAGGTTTTTCAATGCATGCACCTAGTTGAACGTGGATCCTCCTTTTTGTTCACGGGAAACCTAATCTTGCAAAGAAGCGTTGTTTCTAACGGAACATCCAAACAATGTAACATAACTTTTCCCTCCTTTTGTAATATCCTGCTCTGGAGGTGGGGGAAAGCTTGCTGCCATGTTCTACAAAAAACTGGCTCCCATGATGGCAGAAAAGAATGAAACTTTGTAGTACATCTGGAGTTTTGTTGCCGTCTAGGGTTCGCTTTGATCAGATCAGCTAGCATGTGTGTCTGAAAAGCACAGTCAACTTCGTGGAGCTGCGCGCTCTGCAGAAGCTAAGCCGACCTAATAAACAGTCTTGTTATCCAACCTTTTGCTCTAAAATACAATTGATTCAATTTTATGGCATTCAAGTTGCTTTTGGTAGGCATCCTTGTTTCATAAGTCTTATCGAACTAATTTTTTTTGACAATTTCCTGTAAATTTTACAATTGCTGCAATTTAATTTTAGTTGTCATATTTTTTTGCACTTTACTTCCTCAAAACTTGGGGTCGGTTTCCTAAAAAACAGTCCCTAGATGCTCCAGAAAAATTCAGAAAACAATATCGCATCCTATTCCTAGCGCGTCTGAGTTGTTTGTCTAATGATTCGAGTGCAATTGCCAAAATCAAAAACTGTTTGTTTTTGACTTTTTGAGTCAAACGATGTTTTGAGCCGAACGAGCCAAACACTTTTTGTCCTTGTTTCTTGACCATTGCCCGCAATTGACTTAATTCAACTTCGCAGGTCGTCGGTCGAATTTGTCTGGCTTTAATTCGATTTTCCTCATGGGTCAATTTTGTTCAACTATCACATGATATTATTTCATCTTAACTTGATTAATCTAATCTATTATTTAATCTGTTTGATTTGTAATTTTTGCTCACACTAATTGTGGGAAAAGCCGCAAAACAAGCCTAAAATTCCAGCAGCGGCTGTTTTTCCATAAAATGGTGTTTGTTTTCGACTTAAGTATAAATCGCATTGAAGTGGCCTTCCTCAAAACTTAACTGCCTGTCAGAATCAAATGCTTTATTGTGTCATGCAATCTTGTCTATAGGTAGTTATGATATCAATATGGCATTAATTTGAAGAAATTTTTCGGTCCTACTGTTTATATGATCTTAGTTTAAAAAAAGTAGACGAATAGATTTTGCTCATGGAGATGCCACCCGACAAGCTGATGCCTTTTTATTATTCTCCCCAGCCGAAATTTATGGTAAATGTACAGTTTCACATAATTTATGGTTATAAGTTTTGACTTGAAAATAAAATTATTATTATAATCTTGTTTTCTTCAGAGTATGTGCTATCCTATGTGAATATGTGTAATTCTCTGCCTTCCTGTTAAAAAATTATTATCAAAAAAATAACTGAACTGTCATCTCGTAATTCAGAAAAGTGATTGGCAAAAGCAAAACTCTTATTGAAACTCACGTGTAGCCAGTAGCGTGCCCAGAAATTTTTCTAGGGAGGGCAGTTTTTCGAGAAAAAAAATTTTTAGGTCGACCAATTTGATTTTCCGAGCTCTCCGAAAATACTATAAGGACCCTATTCTGTCAAAAATTTTGTACAAATATTCGAAAAAAAACAGTCTAAGCACGACGTTTTGAGCATTTTGTTATTTGCCAATTTGACAATTGACAATCATCTTAGATGACTTCAACTTTTCACATGTAATCAGGAAAACTCCGGGAAAGAAATTGAAAACCAGAACTCAGCAAATACAAAATTGGGAAAAACTGCAAAACTAAATTACCAAACACGTGCAACCAACTAATTTATAATCAAATCAACGTTTAAAGCAAGAAAATACTCAAGTACACCGTGTAAACTAGAAAAGATTACATTTTCGTTTTCAATATGGCACTCAGCTAAATTGCCGGAAACCACACCCTTGCTCTACCCCTTGACCAGGCTGGAAGCCCAGTTTGTCTTTAGTGCCAACTAAGGACAACTCGTTTTTAAGATTTAAAAAAAATCGGGTGAACAATTCTGACCCCCCATAGCTTAACTTTGGTGAAGGGACGTTAACTTTACGTTTGGTTTATATTACTTTCCGCCTGTTTAAGTATCGGAACGAACTACTTTCAAGCATTTGTAACTTTCTATTCCGTTATACTTAGTTGAAAATTTATTTTCCGCTCCATTGTTATTTTGCTTCGTTCCTTTTAAGTTTAGATCTAGCTCCCTAGGACAGAAACTAACAAAATAGGTCAAAACTACGACTGGATACGACATCTACAACAATTGCAACGACAACAACGATCAGCTACGACAAATTATCCATGCCCAACAAAACGACTCTCCCCCAGAGAAACCTTCTCATCGCCCAACTAGAGCGCCTCTTCGAAAAGCCGAGTACGAAAAGCCGAGTACGAAAAGCCTCTTCGAAAAGACGAGTACCAAAAGCCATCAGTGACATCAAAACGAACTACAACATATCTGACTCAGAAAACGAGATGAAGAAAATTCTCAGCAATTTGGAAGACGCTACTACGTACCTTGTAGACCACCCGACTGAGCACGCCACTGCGGAGAACCTCATCAACCGCTTCGATGAATGATATACAAGGCGAACACGACGACATCATGGAAGAATTTAGACAGATGCTACAAGAAAATACAGCAGAGACAACTCCACAACAGCAGAACACTAATGCCACCACAGTTCAAGCCCCCCACACAGCTGATTCAGTGCAACAACAACCAATACTAGATAGGGACTCTAGCCAGACGTCAACATTATCCAGCAGCAGCCATCAGCCCGGATCATCAGCTCAGCAAATAGTACAGGAGCAGAATTCTTCAGATAGCCAGGATACTCAGAAGCAAGTCCCCCAGACAGATTTTGAAATACACAGACCACCGCTTCAACAAACAGAACACGACACCACCAACCCAAGCCTCAGCTTCAACATAGTTACAGAACAGCAGTTCATTCCAGCAGCAGATTCTCAGACATCAAGTAACGGACAGTCGCGAACATACTACAGTCTTATGACTAGACCCCCAAAAGTAAAAATCGATCCTTTCGACGGAAATCCTATGAAATGGAGCATGTGGTTCGGACTCTTCTAAGCAACAATCCACAATCAACCCATCTCGCACGCCAAAAAGATGACTCATCTGCAGACTTTAGTGAGTGGAAAAGCAAATCAAGCTATTTCTGGTTACTCCTGCAATAGCACTATGTACAACGATGCCCTCCATGAACTACGACGACAATATGGACGACCCGACATCATCATCAATGACTTCATCAACAGACTACAGAGCTTCAAGCAACCATAGATTGAGGGATTCGTACATGGAGTTTTTCACATTCATCAGTAACATGGTTGAAACGTAACGGATGCATGGGTTCAAAGACGATTTGAATTCTACAATATACGTACAATTTGCCGTCCGCAAATTGCAACACCAGCAGCAGCTTCAGTGGACACAGTACATCACCGCCCAGATTATCGACCAGCCTAATCTCATCGCCTTCAACGACTGGATAAGACAGTTTGCATTAGCATGCGATCACTTAGCACCTATGCAACCACAGGAAATGACCCTGGACTCGAGCGATCGACAACAACTAGCGCCAAGAATTCGATACCCCAACGGATCTCGACCATCAACCAACCAGCCTTCACAGAAGACTTCCCAAAATTGGAATGCGAATGCCCGACCCCCATGTCCCTTCGATGGACAAACTCACCACCCAGCATACTGCAGCAAGTATCAGAATTCATCTTTGGAAGAGAAGAAGAAACTCGTTTCAGAAAAGAAACTTTTTGACAACTGCCTTGGCCAACATCAAGTAAAAGACTGCCCATCAAAGCACACATGCAGCAAATGCAATCAACATCATCACACAACTTTACACGACGAACAGCGAACACAAAGAACACCAAAGTGTAACCCAAACCAGCAACCGAACCAAGTCAACCATCTTGCCAGCCAAAAGAAGATATCAAGAATCAACAACTCACTGGTGCTGCTGCTTTACCAGTAACATTACGACACCGCCACATATACCTTAAAGTATACGCCTTTCCTGATACAGGGAATAAAAACAGCTACATATCGCAACCGACAGCAGCATATCATCAACTGGAGGAAACTAACCATCAGGAACAACTTCTCATTGGAGGTTTTGTCAACTCGCAGACAATAGAGGCTAAGACAGTGGATATTACAATTCAACCATTTGAAAATAACACCTTAGCGTTTGAACTGACTAATGTTTTAATCCAAGAGAACATCAACTTGAATGCAGCGGAGCCCAAAAAAATGAGTGACATCAGAAGCCAATACAACCACTTTAAGGATATATGTTTTCCAAACTTAACAACAACGACGTAGACCTTGTGAATTGAACGGACAAAATTAACATCATCAGCCCGAAGACCACCATCAAAGGAAATCAAAATGTTCCTCGAGCAGTCCTTTCAGCCCTAGGATGGACATTAGCGGGACCCAACAACGACATTGGATACTTCTCAAGCCACCAAGCAACAGCCAACCTAATACATATATCAACTGACGACACACAAATCTCGGATCTTCTCACTTCATTCTGGCGAATGAAAACCTATGCCACATCACCTAAAATAACGATGTCATCGAACGAAATACACACTATGCAAACACTTCGGACAACCATATCATTATACGACAACCGCTATCAACTTGGACTTCTGTGGATACCAAATTCAAATCTTCCCAACAACTATAAAGCAGCATTTGCCCAATACAACTGGATGCAAACACAACCTAACGAGAATTCAGAAAAATTGGCTCTCTGCGAGAATACAATTGACCAGGATCTCAGCAAGCACTACATGAGGAAATTAGAGCCAGACGAAATACCTTCGAGAGGTTGGATTTTACCTGAACATGGCATTATCAACCCAAACAAGCCAGGAAATTTTCGCCTTGTTTCCAATGCCAAATCCAATTTTAAAGGAATATGTCTGAATGATATGCTTCTCACTGGACCTGACTTTCTCTGCAATCTACTAGGAGTAATTACCCGATTTCGCAAACGGAAGCATCCCATCACCCCCGACATTGAAGGGATGTATATGCAGGTTTCTGTTAACCCCGAAGACAGAAAATTTCTTCGTTTTCTCTGGGGAGCGGAAGAACCCGAAATTTTTGAGTACTTTCGATTCGCCTTTGGAGCCAAATGTTCTTCTGCTTGTGCTTCTGAGAGCCATCCCCACATGAAAAAACTTGTCTACGAGAACTTCTACATGGATGACTTCTTCGAAGCCACCGACGATAATGACACAGCAGTGAAAATCATAGAAGACCTTCGACACTTACTACAACAAAGAAGCTTCAACCTGACGAATTGGATCACTACGGATCATAGAATTCTGCAAACAATACCAGAAGAACATAGATCCATCACCGTAGACGAAATCATGGACCCCAAAATCTTCAAGCGAATTCTCGGAATAAATTGGAGAGTAACTAACGATACACTCAGTTTCACTACTGACAAATTACACGAACTCGCCCAGAAAAAACCTACACAACGGAATCTACTTCGCGCAGCTTCTTCAATCTTTGACCCAACTGGAACTGAAGCACCTATTTCTATTCGACTACGAATAACCCAGCCAGCAATTTGGAGAAAAGGAGTGAAAATGGACGACCAAATTTTACGAGAAATGATACCTGAACTTTTTGAGCTTCTCGACGAGAAAAACAACATAGAGACAGTAGAAATACCTCGACACTGTTTCGGATACAGCTAGGACAACATCGCTCTTCATGTTTTTTCAGATGCCTCCTACAGCGCCCTAGCAGCAGTCGCTTATTTTGTATACAGCAACAGTGCCAACTGACAAATCAGCAGTGCCTTTGTTCTTTGTAAAACAGCAGGCAATAACTAAATTGGAACTACAAGCCGCAGTTTTTGGTGCCAGCCTCGCAAAGTTCATCCGCAGAGAACGAAGGATTGACATCAGCTCTACGCATATGTGGTTCGACAGCACAACAGCGCTTCAATGGATACAGGAATCTGCTATACGACAACAAATTTTTGTGACTCAAAGAGTTGCAGAACTTTTAGAAAGCACCCAAGCGTGTCAATGGAAATATTGCCTAAACCCAGCAGACGACGGAACCCGTGGAATACCCCTATCGGAATTCAGTAACAAGTCAAGATTGTTCACGGGATCAAAATTTTTATGTGAATCAGAATGCAACTGGCCAAAACTACAATTAAATGACGCCAATACGGATATCTTGAAACTCAACGATCGAACTGGACACATGGATGAAATAGCAAAAACCCCAGTGCTAGTTTTTCAAGCTTCCCCCGAAAAGACAGTACAAAGTTTCATCGACTACAACAGATTCTCTAAATGGACAAGAATTCTCCGAACAACCGCATACTTGATGCGTGCTCTCAGGATTTTCAAAGATAAAGACTACACTCCCTTAACGAAAACCCGACAACCGAACTGACAAGCAACAACATGTTTGCCGCAAAGAATTTTAACTTCAAGCAGACGCAACGAGACAGCTTCAACCCAGAATTCAACCCTTTGACACAAAATAAACCAATCACCACAACTAGCAGACTTCGACATCTGTCACCATTTCTAGACGAAGACGGACTCTTGCGAGCACGTCGACACCTCGAGAAATCTCAATTGGACTATTGCATAAAAAACACAATTATCCTTGATGGAAACCACCCAGCAGTTCATCTCTTTATAGGACAAACCCACAAAGACAACCAGCATTGGCCACGATCGCACTTAAAAATATTCGTCAAAACGAGTATTGGATTCTCTGTGTTCGAGCACACATTGACAAGGTCATAAAAACTGTTACGAATGCCGACGACAACACGCAACTGGACTACAGCCGCAACTTGCGTCCCTACCCGCCTTCAGATTTCCGGACGCTAAACCCTTCCCGTTTCATGAAACAGGATTAGATCATTTTGGACCGTTTGCTTCGAAAACCGCAGGAAACTACAACAAACGCTACGGCCTTATAATGACTTGCCTAACAACACGAGCCGTACATCTTGAGATGTGCCAGGAGCAATCAGCCGACGCCTTCATCAATACCTTACGACGATTCTTCGCACGCAGAGGACAACCAGCCAAAATTGTTTCTGACAACGGTACAAACTTCACCGCAGCCGAAAAAGAACTCAACAGACACTTCGAGGCCGATGTTACACAACATTTCTACGCCAACCATCAGGTTGAATGGACATTCAACCCTGCCCAAGCTTCTAATTTCGGAGGTGTATGGGAACAACTCATAAGATCAGTCAAAGCTTCGTTCTATGCCATCATAGGAAGCCAGATTCTAACAGACGACATATTCAACCCCGTTCTTTGCGAAGTTGAACACTTCATGAACGCAAGACCCATCACTACAGTTTCATCATCGCCCGAAGATGTTGACGGCCTCACACTAAATCATTTTCTTCTCGGGAGAGCGCATGCCACCATGCCACCTCTACAAACCCAACAGCCGTCAACACTCAGTCGACAATGGAGATTTGCCCAACAACTCTCAACCAATATTTGGAAACGCTTGATGAAGGAGTTTATTCCAACACTAATGCCAAGACAACGATGGACAACAAAGACGCCGCCTATCAAAGTAGGAGAAATTGTCTGGATTTTTCAGGATATGACGCCACGAGGACTCTGGCCAATTGGACGGATCACAGGAAACAAACCAACCGATGATGACCAGACCCGCGTTTACACCGTCAAAGTAAGAGATAAAATTGTGTCAATACCTGCCATTAGACTAGCAACTGTTAGTCCGGACTATTGCAATCAACCAGCAAACGAAAATTTACGACAAAGAGAGCCTCACCCTAAAGCAGCCTTGCGCCGACAGTTATAGCCGATAACTTCAACTGACGCTTACACGACCATTAAGCCAGCGTTTTAAGTTTTGTAAATAGGAATTACTCCACCCCTTTTTTCCTAATTTATTTTGCAACTGCAAAATGAGGCCGAGTGTTATATGCCAATTTTACAATTGACAACCATCCTAAATGACTTCAATTTTTCACATGTAATCAGGAAAACTCCGGGAAAGAAATTGAAAACCAGAAATTGCAAAAAGAAAATTAGGAAAACTGCAAAACTAAATTACCAAACACGTGCAACCAACTAATATATAATCAAGTCAACGTTTAAAGCAAGAAAATGCTCAAGCATACGGTGTGAACTAGAAAAGATTGCATTTTTGTTTTCTATAACTTTTTTAAAAAAATTGACAAAAAAAATTCCCCATCAAATTTAGTTATATTGGCGTCAAAGACGCCTTTAGAAAATTTTTAAGGTTGGCCAGCCAGAAAACATCTCAAAAAAATATCAATGGGGGAAAAATTGGAAAAATTGGCAATCAGAAATGAGAGGGGGAGGCAGTTTTTCTCTCACAAAAAAGTGAGAGAATTTTTGTGCTCGGGTGGTTTTTTCTCTAGACATAATTCGAATTTTCAAAAAGCCCTTTTTGAAAAGAACTTTTTATTGCATCAGAAAGTCAGTGATGTCTTGAGCTCAAACTTGAAAAGATAGCTTACCTGTAATCTTTTTATAAGATAAATGTCCGGGTTGAAAACGCCAGTTTTGATAGTTTGGGATAATTAATGCAAGATATTTTCCGTGCTATTAACTCGTGATATGCTATTTAGACTGCTCATAAATGACTCCAATTAAATTGTTATTAGACGATAAAAATATCATTTTGTATATAATCTGTGAGAGGCATTTTTGAAAAACCAGAAAAAAAATCCATCAAATATTTTTTCAATCCATTTTTGTATTGGAAAAATTATCCGTTTCAAAGCAGTTTAAAAAATGTTTAAGGAAGGTTGGAATCTTAAGGGTTAGATTTTCATTTTGATTCAAGCTGTTTTTTATATTTGTTGTTATATCTTCTCGCCAAACTCAGTTGCTAGTATAAAACGATATAATTCTCATTTAGTAACCAATTTATGAAGCAAACAAATAGCTTCAATTCAATTTGGAATGAGCCGAAAAAACTGAACATAAATAGAAAACGGCGTTGTATTGATTTGCATAGAACTCGATAATTTGTCTTAATTTTGAAAATGAAAAAATCTTGAAAAAAAATAAATGCGAAAAAAAGTACATTTTTTTGTAACAGTAAGAAAATTTTCAACTATTTTATTAGAAAATTTTGATGTAATAAAACTGTCATTTATTCGAACAGGTTCATTTTTTGAAAACTTGATTGGAGAAAATTGGTAAAAAAAACGCGCATTAATTGACCTAAATTGGCTGCATTGGCTATTTCCAAGCTCCCGTAACTTTACAAAATATGGTCACAGACAGGGGCGGATTTAGGGGGGGGGCGGTGGGGGCGGACGCCCTTCTCTCAGGGACTCGACCCCCTGCCGACCCAAAGGGTCCCTCCTTTGGTACTTTTTAAGAAATTCATTTTTGGCCAACTGACCCTAAAATTTTTCTAAAGGCGCCTTTGGCGCCAATATATTCTATTTTTGAGGGGGGAGCGCCCGCCGAAAAAACGCAATTTTTTGGTCAAAATTTTCCAAAAAATGCCTAAAAACGCCTTTTTTGGACTGTTTGTTTAAATTTTTGCCTGCGGCGCAGAAAATGTTGCCAAAAAAGGGACTAAACCATGCTTAGGAAAGCTCAAAAATCAATTCGGTCGACCCAAAAAAAAAGATCGACAAAATTTTCGAAATTTTTTTTGAAAATCCGCCCCTCCCCCTCGAGAAAATCCTAGATCCGCCCCTGGTTACAGATGACTTATTATGATTACTTTTTAAATTTTGAGCGCTTTCAAACTTTTTTCAGATGCTATTGAAGTATTGTAAATGTATGTAAGAAAATTGAATTGGTTTGAGTAGAGAAATAATTAAGAAACTGAGAAATAAAAACTAAAACAGTATGATGATTGTTTAATTTCATTTCCCGCGAAGTAAACTCCCGTAAAAGATAGTTTACTTAGGTATTTTTTACCAACCCCTCTCCCCCAATTTTTACCCCTCAAAACAGCTCATACTTTCAGAATTAATTAGTAAGCCGCATTTTATTTTGGTTCAGCTAGACGCCAAAGTTTTTTTGCGGCCCAGTTTTTATGTTGCGTCAGGCGCCGAAAACCATAATAATTGAAATTCTATTCTTTTCAACAGTCTTTTCTTTAGAATACATTACATGGGTATAAGAATACATAATTTATGTCCAACAATAGCTGTACAACAAATATTATTCAAGCCTATCTCCTCTGAATAACGCAGCCAGGCAAACTTACCTCTGAACTTATTATAGTACCAATATCAAAAAATTACCTTGAGGGAATTAAATTACAATTTATTCAAAAACTATATTCTAGCAACAAACAACTAAAAATTTCTTCAGATGCGGTAGTGATTCAAAGCTAGTTTGTATAACTATGCTTTAATTAAAACGCTACAAAAACAATTTTTGGAGCGTAAAAATGAGAATTTTGGGAGAAAAAAAGAAAAAATTTTCCCAGTTATCTTTTTAAATTTGATCAATAAATTGACTTCGGCATATTTGTTTGAGAGCCTGATTTTTTTTCAAATACGTTTCCTGTTCCAATTAACGCTAATTGGGAAGAATCTTTCAATGGCTGACAGCTTGAATTAAAAACGTGGCCTTTCTTGTTCATTTAGATGACAATCGTTGTATGGATACCCATAAAATGAATAGCTTTTTTTGAGTTTTCTTCAAATTGCTTATATTTCACTTGTTTTCAAACACGATTGAGATTAGTATTATTTAGAACTGAGTGAACAAAATACAGGAAGATGACAGCTGTGAACGACACATCATTGAACATTAGTCTGTCCGGTGGGATGGGAGAGGGAGAGGGAGAGGGGGACTATTCCTACTCGGCCACCAAGTTCGACATTGGAGTGATTGTGCTGAGAGTGATCATCACACTGTTCGGACTGCCAGCCAATGCCATGGTCATATTTGTGGTGTGCAAGTTCAGCGAAATGAAGACCTACTCCAACATATTCTGCGCCAGGTATGCATGCAATCACAAACACGGTCGCACACTCCCATTTTCAGATTCAAAACCCTCCCACTGAACAGCAACACTTACAACACCCTTTTTTACTCCACTTGCTAAACTTTTTCTAAAGTGTCTCTAGTGAAACCATAACGCAAAATTTGGGGGCACGCTTAAATCAAAACTTTTCAAAAACTGCCCAAAACGGTTTTTCGACTCAACTTTGCCAAATAACAGAATTTTTTTGCGTAAATTTAATCTTTTCATTGTCTCGACAGAGTCCAAATTTTCCATCGTCTCAAAAAATGCTTGAATACTTCAAAAGCCACCCCTCCTTCTCGATGAAGTCCTCCATGACAAAATGAGAGCTTTAAAAATCATAAGACAGCATAGTACATAGAAAATACAAAAAAACAAGTATAGATGATTGTGGAAAGCTGTATCAGAAATTAAAAGCATAGTTTTGAATAATTTGTATGATAAAAGAGGAAAAAGAAAACTGGGGACCCTCACCGAACCCTTTCCGTTTAGCGTAGCTTTTGGCATTTTTTGTTTTTAAGTAATGAAAAGATTGATGTGTTAGTTTGGCAGTGACGGACAACCTGACCCTGTTGCATGACCTGTTCTTCTCCATTCCCTCCCAACTGCTGACCCAGATGACCTCTGCAGACTACACCTCCATCCCCCAGTGTCTGCTGCTGGGAGTGGGCAACATACTCACTGTCACCGCCGGATTCCACCTGGCAGTCATCGCACTCGACCGATTCCTATTTATCAACTTCCCATTCAGGTCACACACAAATGTCTTCATGCCTTAATAGCAGCGCCTCATGTTGAAATACTTTAAGCTGACAACTAGATATCAAATTTGTTGTTGAACTTTTTTGCCAAAATTTTTTGTAGCGAATTATTTGATATAGTCCCGGTTTTTCTGACTAAGTAGCGTACAACATCGCTAGTAGTCTATTTTCTAAATGTATTAAGGAACATTCCGAATAAAGGATTACTACGCAAGTCTTGAGCACTAAGTTATCCTTCTTAAAACCCTGAGTTTCAGATACTACATTGTGCTGCAGTGGGCCAAGACACCCCTGCTGCTGGCGTGTTGGTTGCCAGGCATCATAATCGGACTGGGCCTTGAGACCAGAGCATGTACCCAGAGAGCATTCGTGGACAGCAAGGAGAACATCATCATGCGTGAGTCATCTATTTCGCATTTTAAACTAACAATTGCGGGCAGCTTGCAGGCAGAGTCTCAACATCTGGCAGGAGCTGGTTATACGAAATCTCAGGAGTTCGACACCCTGCCGACCCAAAGGGTTCCTCTTTGTACTATTTGGAGATATCCATTTTTGGTGACGGACCCTACAATTTCTGAAGGCGCCATCGGCGCCAATATATACTAATTTTGAGGGAGAGCGCGAGCCGAAAAAACGCAATTTTGTGGTTAAAACTTGCCAAAAATTTCCTAAAACGCCTTTTTTGGCCTGTTTTTTCAGAATTTTGCCTGCGGCGCAGAAAGCTTGGTCAAAATGGGGTCTTTATAGTATTTAGGAGAGCTCAGAAAATCAATTTGTTCGGCCTAAAAAAAACGTCGACATTTTTTTTTGAAAATCCGCCCCCCCCTCCGCCGAGAAAATCCTAGATCTGTCCCTGTAAAAGCCCTTTCAATCGTGATACGAACGACAAAATAAATTTTGATAAAAATCTCAGAGTTGAGAAAAACCGGTTGAAAGTTTTTGACTTCTGGTCTAATTTCGTGCAAATAAAGCGAGCGACCGGGCTTATTTTGTTTAATTTAGGCCGCTTACAATAGCTTATTTCTGCCTAGTTTTCGTTTTAATCAAGTAGCGCTAGTTTATGGCGTTTAAAACGCCATTTCGGAAATATAAAAATCAAGAAATTTAGCCAAAAAAATTGAAAAAGTCTTTGAATTTTGATTTTTTTCTTAAAAAACTGTTGTTCATTTTGCTTATTTTAGTATAAATGTCAAATATGCATAAACTTTAGATTTTTGTTCAAATTCTTTTATCGCACCACGCAAAAAAGTGACACTAATTTGAAAATGACATTTTTTAAAAATATTTTAAGACTATGGATGGGCGGTACATTCTGTTCTACTTTCACAGTAACCGGCTATCATCGGTTTAATTTAAATGTCGGTTAACACAACCAAACTAGAATTTCTGCATCAATGAACGGTTGAAATCCCAACTGTGCGATTAAGTATCTACAAATGACTTTGGCTGAAGTTTTATTCAAAAAATCTAAAATCGATTTTTTCTTTAATTGTTTCGAAATTTCCCTCTTACACATGGACTATTAACGCAATTTCTGGATTGATAATTTTGCTCGTATTCAAACAGAAACAATACTGATCGTATCAGGGCGAAGCCCTGAATATTTCGACTGCCCTAAAGTTCTATTGAGCAGTAATAACCTGAAAAAAACTAAATGTAGAAAAAAAAGTTTAAAAAAATGAAAAAAGTTCTATAAAAAATTGAGATTTTTTGTAAAATTCATCCCCCACAGGCCATATAAAACACAAAGTGGTAAACTTTGCACCTATTAACAATTATGGCATATAAGCCTGCTTCAACCAGTTTGGAACGATTTCTAAAAATGATTAAATCTCTGCTTACGCGTTGATAGCGCGAAAAATATCGCGCGGTAATTGTCCCAAATCGGCCAAAATGGCACTCTTTAAATCCCCAAATCTCTACAAAAATTAATCACAGTTGAAATATCTTTTCAAATTTAAGCTCAGGACAACAATATTTTTCGAATGATATAAAAAAATTCCGTCAAAAATGGCTAGTTAAAAAGTCGAAATTTGTCTGAAGAAAAAAAAAACCCATACCGTGAATATTGACCAAATTTGTCAGCAACCATTTTCAATAAGAAGCAGAAGGTGAGACTAGGATTAGAGTTGTTGAAAAACAGAAAAGCACCCCGAGACACAAAATTTGTCAGTTTCTTCGGTACTTGGACCCGCAAACTTCTAACGGTCGGACGGGTGAACAAAAAAGACATTTTTTGTCTTTGATGTTGAGTTTTACAGAGTACTTTTGTTGCTCGTTTTCTTTTTGGTTTTTGGTTTTTTCAGACTTTGATGAGCTTAACTTGAAAAACTGAGGTTCAAAAAACAGAAAGTCAAGCGTAAAATGAGGAACAAGTTTGAACAGAGTTTTACGAAAAAAGACACATAGAAAGTGATAATTCATTTCTCTCACTAATACTCAAAAAAATATTTTTAAAAAATTGGCCACTAAATGATTATTTGGTACCGAAATTTAAAGTAAGCTTGATTACAATTGTATGAGCTTTTATAAAACTTCAATTTTCAAATTTCAAAAAAAGTATAAAACTTCAAAAAGTTACTTGTTTACAAAAAAGCTTGCAATTTTCATTCTAAAACGATTACGCATGAAAACGGCTTAAAACTATAAGGTTGTGTAAAATTGCCAATTGATATCAATTTAACTCTAAAAGCAATGCCAAAATTGAAGCCATTTTTTCAAAAAAAATTAAAGTTCTCTTTCTACTTCCATAGCGGTTTTCCCTGCCAAAATTTAGGAGGAACCGCATATGGAGTAAAAATCTCACAAAGTTGGTTATTGATTGAAACTTTAATCCTACATTTGGGAGGTTCGATTTCGAGCAAAAATACAGCTTTCCTACCAAAATTAGAGAAAAAATGCTATTGCGTAATGTATCTATACAACCTGTTGATTAGCTCTTAACCAAGGCCATTACGAGGCCAAACTGCGATTTTTGTGAATTGTAAGCGGATTCCGCGACAAGGACGCTCACTTTGTTCTTTTTTTTGTTCTTTCATTTTCTTATTTTCTTTGATCATTACGACAAAAATTTAAAAGGTTTAAATACTTGTCTGTGGAATCCAGGAACATACAGTCACAAAATTGTGCGCCTATCCAGTGCACAGTTTGGCCTCGTAATGGCGAAGTGCAAAAATGTTTAGAAAAAATTTCCTAAAAAAATAGCCGTTTTTAGACTGATAACTTGTTTCTGCAAAAAAATAGAGCAAAACGGCTGACGCAAGGAAAATTTTGACGCCTATTTTTTTTTCGATTGAGCTCTTAATTTCCATTTGCGAGCGCAATTTTTGAGAAAAGGCAAGACGTTTCACAAAAAAACTGTCAATATATGATAAAAACGGATTTTGCCAAATGCCATATTTTTGCACAAAAATAAGAGCGTAGTCACTGATTGAGGTAAGACCTATACACCCAGTTTTTCAATTGAACTCATAATTCCAGATTTGAGAGAGTATTTTTTAAGAATCAGGATATATCTAAAAAAATTGCCAAAATTTCAAAAATTGGACGTTTTCCAAAGCAATGACCTTTTGTGCAAAAGTTAGGGCAGAGTGGCATATGCAGGGGAGACTACAATAACATGTTCTTCCGATTGAAATCTGGTTTTTAAATTTTGCAAAGTTTTATTTGAGAAAGTGAAAAATTCCAGAAGAATGGGTCAAAATTTTCCACCACTGAGTTTTCCGAACACCCTAGAACGTGGTTCAGAGTAAACAGACACTAACTTAAAACGCAAGCATCATTATCAAGCTTTGTAAATTTTTCTATCACTGCTTAATAATTGGTTTGTTCGCTGTCTGGTTTGTTGATTCTCTCGAAAAATATCTTTGTCAAATCAAGAAAGTTTGAAACCAACTCCCTAAACGAATGTGTGTTATGGCACTTGTATGCCCGTGACAGAAAAAAAAATAGCTCGGATACTTCAAGGCTCCTCAAGTTTTTAGCATGTACTTAAAATGAATGAAAAATTATTTTGAAAAGATCCATCAATATGCTACTTCTACAAGTGAACAAAAAGCAGATGTCATGAGATCAAATGCATTTTGTCTTGATTCCACAGAAAAGAATGATAAATAAGCAATAAATAAAAAAAATACATGTCTGTTCTCGTTAACTTCTCTTCCACTCCGATTTGTATCTTACTCTAATTGTCATCCACTTCAGCCTGAGCGACCTTTCCCTCCTTGGCCAACTGAGCTATGAGAGTCTGTGCCCAGGCACTGATCTGTTTACTCACTTTGTACTTTCGGATGTTGCCCATGGACAATCCTTCCTCAGTACACTGCAGACAATTCACAAAGTGCTGAAAAATAGAGGAAAAGCTCATTTGTTTATTTTTGAAAAAAAAACTAGAGGCCCAGCTAAAGCTGGAAGTACCTGTTTGATAGTTTTTGATTTTGTTGTACTGATGCGGGATGAAATAGGTAACTTAAAAAATTTAAAAATTGGGCTTCACCCAAAACCTAGTTAATGCTCTACTAGAATATGAGTAAAACTTTTGTGATTTTGAACAATTATCAAGCTTTGTAAATTTTTCTATCACTGCTTAATAATTGGTTTGTTCGCTTTGCACAAAAATAGTGGCCCAATCACATGATTGGCGCTTTGCACCAATCACAATCCAGAGGAGAAGGAAACTGGTATATGCTCTACCTGTAAAAACTTGATATGAAGTGACTGAAAATGCGAAGAAAACGAAGTTCTTGATTGCCCGAATCATAGGGATGAGATTTGTATCTTGAGAAGGTTGAAGAAAAAAGAATATTCATCAGGTCTTGTGAAATCGCTTAAGTCAGAGACAGACGATGGGTTTTCGAGCTGTTCGAATTTTCCGGAAATACCAACAGAAGAGGAAATAGAAGTGGATAAACCGGTAAAGCTCTAAAGAGGAATTATAAGTGGATAAACCGGTATTACCAGAGATAGAGTTCGGATTACCAGAGATAGAGTTTTTGTATCCATACAAAAATTTCGAACAAACTTCAGGCGTAGGATCTTATGCTCGGAGCCTTCCCTCAACCTGTTGCCACGATTAAACCAGTTTTTGAGAAGAGTCAAAAAGTTTCAAAAAACAGACAGGAAATCAAACCAGAATTTTCTTAAGGCAATAACTGTTTGCCAGAAAATTTAGACGCAAGCGCTTACACGGGAGGGCGTCGCTCAACCCTTTTTTTGAGTTTGGGAAAATCTTATTGAAAATCTCAGAATTGGGATGTTAGTTTTTGAGACAGTTCAAAAAAAACTGAAAAACTGGTCAAAACATCTGATAATTTGTTTTTCCGAGGCGCAGTTATTTTAGTTTAAAAAAATTTACCGAGCCGCTCATGCAGATGAACATCTCACATACCGTTATATCGA